TCTCATTGGCCAACATTGTCTTTGACAACTAAGTAATCTTTTCCTTTTTGATTTTTTAGCTCCTTATAAGACTAAGGAAACTTATCACTTACTCATTTGTAAAGAGAAAAAAAAAAGAAATGAGCAAACTCAAGCTTAGTAAGTATAGGTTTACACACCTTATTAGGTTAATTATCGTTTTCATACATACCATATAGATCATTCAAAAGCAATCATCAAATCATAATGTCAAAACATGTCAAAAATCATCATTATGTCAAACATTTCATAAACTCAAAAATTAATATCAAACATATCAATTTATAAATCATTTCAAAATATGCTATTATTCAAATATCGTAATTAAATCAAATTATGGATCAATCTTTAAAATCATCACAAATCATCATAAATTATTAGTTCATCATTAGCTATGGTCACTCCTATAACTTGTGACATTGGTCATATTGACAATTTTATTTTCATGATCATTACTAATTATTATAACCCATAAGCCAGGTTCTTATGATTATATCTATGCTAACTATTATAACCTATTAGTTAGGATTGTGGAACTAATTCTGGTATTAATGATCCCATTTCTCAAGGATATAATTTCATAGCTATCATAAAATTGTTATTTAAGCATAAATCCTTTTCTTGTGTCATTCATAAGCACAATCCATTATTTATATAGTAAAACACAAAATAATTATATGCTCGACCCTATTTTCATATATTGAAAATAAAGAAATAAACTTTCACTTATTTAGAAACATATATACATATATATAAGTTTGAAAACAAGCAAAGTATATGAGATTCTACTTACCTCTTTTCGATTTCACCACTTAGTTTTTTTCCAAAAATAGTTCATGGCCTATTTAAGGTCATTTTAAGATATAAGAAATTAATCAACCCTTTTTGAGACCATTTATACTACAAACAACTAAGTTGCACAAGAGTTAACTCAAATAATTAATATTGACAATTTGAGCTCTTTTCACTAAAATGACCATATCTTAATATATCCAACTTAGAATTAAGATCTTGATAGTGCATTAGAAATTAGACTCGATAAACTTTCTAACCATATATGACCCACCTCTTAATTTCTTGTAGATTAATTGTAATAATTTTTGCAGTTTAGGTCATATGCTGCTGCTAGGTAGTATATACGTTATAGTAAAAATTAAATATTTATTTATAGGAAACTCCAAATTCAATTTTGCTTGTTTGGTTGGAAAGTAGATTCACTAAGATTTCCAAAAATATATGGATTAATATGTAATTCTTTGTATAAAATTTAAGATAATTTTCATAATTCATCACTGATGTTGTTACCATACAGCCGCACTTCCTTAAGTAAAAATTAGTCAATTCTTCATAAAAATCTCGAAATCGACTTCCGTTTCGTTGAAAAGTAGATTCATCAAGTTTTTTAAAGGTATATAATAATTATAACAATATTTTATCCTTTAATATAAAATATTATTTTAATCCATCACTGTAAATATCATGGTTCATGCAGAACAAAAATTTTCCTTTCTAACCCATCCAATTTCTGTTTTCTATTTTTACAGCTATAAAATCATATTACTAAACCTTCTTAACACTTCCTTAGAAACTAATCAATGTCTAAATGATTTGCCAACCAATCTTGAAAAGGGATAATGGTTTTCTTATTTTTTAGGCTTTCTTGATTACAAGTTAAACTCCAAAACTTATCAATTAAAATTATTTCTCTAAAATTAAAGAAAGTTATTTACTCACATTTGAAAGATAACTCTTATTGTAGATTTTGTTCTTAACTTTCAATTAAAATCCTTCAGCTTATCTGCTTTGTATAAGGAAGAGAAAAGAAATAAGCCTTTTTTTTTTCTTTCGATCAATTGTCGACCAAATAAGTGGTATAAACTAAGCTTATTAAAAGTTGGATTATTTATTATTAAGTTATTTGCCTTTGTAACTTTCTATTAAAAAGTCTCTTTGCTTATAAAATATTTTCAAATAATCCTTTTTTTTATGGGTATTACAATAATCATATATTTCATAATCATATTTATTTCAAAATCAAATCTCAAATACAAAACTAAACAGAACTTCAAAGAATAAATTTTTTTTATAAGTTTCAAGTAACATGCCATGACCACATTTAACTCATTTGACATGGGTTGGAGTTAGAGTAAAAATCACAATTAATCCCACTTGATGTTTCGAAAAATGTAATATTGAAGACTTTTGGAATTTTTATTTTTATTTGATATGATATATGTTATTTTGCATGCTTATATGATTCGTTTCATAAATATACGGTATTCTTATATCTTAAATCATTAGATTTGGGGCGTGACAAATTATGTAATGCTTTGCAGTCACAAATTATGAAGATATATCCAAAAGAGATGATTGTAACTTTCATCAACAATTTGCTCCTGGTCATTTTTTCTGTAGCATTGTGCTTAATAGCAGAATCAAACAGGAGTTCTGGAGACTCGGACCTAGTATGGTAGTTGCATCTATCCTGTACTCGGTAAGGAATTAGTATCAACTACAATTTTAGAGCAGATGATTTCCGATATCTAAAGGTTTTCTTTTTCTCTTCCTTACTTGATTAGGGAATTTGTGCATTATCCTTCAGCAGTGCTGTACATACATGGGGTGTACGCTTGAAAGGGCCGGTTTATATTACAATATTCAGGCCATTGTCAATTGTCATTGCAGCAGTTATGATTGCCATATTCCTTGGTGATGCATTGTATCTTGGAAGGTAATTAGAACTATCTATTTCAGTATTTTTTTTTTTTAATGTATTTGAAACTGTCAAGATTGGAAGAATTCTTGTTATGAATCCAGTAGTCTATCATTTAGACCACATGGCTGATGGCATCTCTTTCCGTTTTTTAATATTATTACCAGTTATAATAAGTAAAGTCATTTCAAACATGGCTGTACATCCCTAAATTTGGGTTGGGCAATTTCCTTGTATGATCACAATTTGACAAGTCTGATTCAATCTTAATGTTGCAGTGTCATTGGGGCATTGATCTTATCTGCTGGGCTTTATTCTGTATTATGGGGAAAGGCAAAAGAAGAAGAAATGACTTATAATGATTCAGGCTCAAGTAGTGTTGGACCCTTGTCCAATTGTAAGGTCTCTTTGTAGCAAAGCCACAATGATGAAGAAATGTAGCTCAAAATTTTTATCAGAAAAAAAGGTAACTAGCTGTTTACTGTTTATTGCATTGTAATTTTCCCCTCATTTGAATGCTAAAACATCTAAGAATTTGTTAAAATGCATGAAGAAAAAATGGGAACCCAAAAGATTTCTTTGATCAAACAGTTGGGAATTTAGCTTGTTTCTTTAGGTCCAGCCATTTCACTTTCATATATGTATTGACAATGACAGCTTGGGCCAAAATATGCCTCTAGTTCAAGACTCAGTTGCACCTGGTAATGAGGGAAAGGGCCTTCCAACAATGAAGGATTAGGTAGGTTAGAAGTTGTTTATTGTATGTACCCGGGACATTTGTCCTTCCTGAATTATTTTTTCAATAAAAGTATCACTTATGTTTAAATTCATGGCTGACATGTTCAGTACAACCTTTATATTTCAGCTAATTTTATAATTTTGTCATATGATTCTGTTTGTCTTGCCTACATTATCTGCTTATTGGTTTATTTTGATGATTGAAATAAAATTATAACCAAACCAAGCATTTTGAAATGATGAGTTCAACTATATATAGATTTGGTCATGGGAATTACAAAATGTGTTTGAGCAAAACCACATGTCCAATAACATGATTAACTATAATCATCCTTCCTCCACTCCTTTAATCGAGGCACTTATCACCATTCACCACCAACGTTTATTAAAAGCAAAATAAGTTTTTATAACCAAGGTAGGGGAGGAGGGAAAGTATATATGTATACAGAAAATTTAGTTACAGGCTGACGAATTCATGATATGTTACATAGAGGAGAGGCAGATGGCAAGAAGGTATGGCGACAAGGAAGTCCTATCATGCATGGGCATGGTTGCAGTAGAGTGCTCCAATGTACTCTCAAGCATTCTATTCAAAGCGGCTTCTTTCAAAGGGATGGGCTGCTTCATCTTCATCGCCTACTGTTATGTTTTAGGCACCCATGTTTTCCTCCTTTCACCCTTCCTCTTCAATAGGTCTTTTGCTCATTTCATTCTTCTAATAATCATCAAACAAATCTTTTTTTTTTATCTGATGTACGCAGAAAAATAATGCTTCCCCCATTGAAGTTCCCTCTTATCTCTAGAATTTGTCTTCTTGGGCTTCTTGGGCTTGGAAGTACTTCATAATGCCCATAAACCTGTGAATGTCTGTTTCTTCACGAATTCATTTGAAGTAATATTACTTTTCTAGTGATTGACAAAGATTACAAAAGACTTAAGATTATAAAAAAAAAAAAAAAAAACAAAGATTTGTTCATCTTTTGGAGGCAGGTTTTCAGGTCAAATATGTATTTATAAAGGCTTAGAATTTGGTTCCCCAACTCTTGCTTCAGCATCAGCAACCTCAAACCAGCTTTTACCTTCATACTTGCTGTCTTCTTCAGGTTTCTTCATTCTTCCCCTGGTTTTTTCATTGTCTTTATCCATTCCATTTTGTATATTTACTAAAGAATAACACACTTGTCTCATTAATTTCCTTTTGATTCTACTAAATAAGGCTCTTTAATCGAAAACAATTAACCAAGTCATAGAAGGGAAAGTCTAAAACTGAAAAATAGTGAATTAGACATTAAATGATTCATAACAATTGGGTATTATTTCGGTCTGTCTCATAAAAAATTAAATTTTTATATATACATCATAGCAGATTTTGACGTGGGGTTAGAGTGTTTCCAAAACCAAATGAACTCAACCATGGATGCAAAATCAGAAATGACCAAGTCTTTGGAACGAAGTTTAATCAATGTGTTTGAATATAACATAAATATAAAATTTTCTTTTTATAATTAAACAATATTTTCAGAATGCAATCACTAGAAGCAGACAACTCTAGAGCAGTGAAATGGCATTATTGGACAAAGCAACCAGCAATAATATCATCACTAACTTTTTTATTAAACAAAATGCAATATGATGATGTTCAAAGATTTGATATAAGGAAGAAAAAGAAAGAGGCCTTTGGCTTTTCCATTCTGCTTTTTTATAGCCAAGAAGACAGGAGACCTGGGAGACTTTATTACAGGCAAAGTGATATGGGAAGAACGTATTGGTACAAGGATGTCCTACCATGCACCGCCATGGTTGCAGTCGAGTGCTCCAACGTAGTCATAAACATTCTATTCAAAGCTGCTTCTTCAAAGGGGTTGAGCTACTACACCTTCCTCGCCTACTGCTACACTTTAGCGACCATTGTTCTCCTCCCTGTAACCTTCTTCTTAATCAGGTCTTTCCTTTCCTTCTTCTGATGATCATCTGAAATCAGATGTACATATATTTTGCACTAAAATCTTTTTTTTTTTGCTTATTTTGTGTATGCAGCAAATCAGGGTTTCCTCCATTTAAGTTCCCTCTCATCTCTAGACTTTGCGTTCTTGGTCTTGTTGGGTATGGAAATGGAACTACACTGAACATCAAGCTGCAATTTTTGGTTTCTAACTTTAATTCGCTCTTTTCATATAGTATCAAAGAAAAAAAGGACAATATACCAAGACTCTGTTTATGTTTTGGAGACAGGTTTTCAGGTCAAGTATGTGTATATAAAGGTTTAGAATTTGGCTCCCCAACTCTTGCTTCAGCCATCAGCAACCTCATACCAGCTTTTACGTTCGTACTTGCTGTCTTTTACAGGTTTCTTCCTTCATACTTGATTAACTAATTCATAATGGTGAAACAATACTCATGATCTGTCTGTAATTCGTTGACTAAAATGTTCCTGTTAATTACTTACGCCTTTCTGAATTTTTTCATCAAGGGCATATGATGAATTCCAATAAAATAAAGGAAAATAAAAACCCAAAAACTTAAATTAGTTAGTTCATGCAATAATTCTTATCAGGTAATATCCAATAGATTTAAGATTGGAATCCAATACCAGCAACTCGCTTGTTTATCCCTAAACTAGGACTTCCTTTGTAAAAAAAAGTACGGAAAATAAACAATGAAGAGGGGTTGGTGTAGAATGCTAGATTTTTAATTTCAGTGACAGAATTCAAATCTTAACCTCAAATACAAAACAAAAAACATATTCCCATCAATGATAACACTAAAATCAGATTTATTCTTTAAAAAAAATTTGGAAGGGGAATGGATGACCATTTGGCAAGCATGTAAGAAATGGAAAAATTTATGCAACAATTTCTGTTGTTTCGTGTTTAAGATAGTATCCTCAGTAAGCTAATTCCTTTCTCCCATCTTTGATTGCCAATGCCATAACCAGGATGGAAAAGGTAGAATTGAGAAGCTCAAGCACTCAAGCTAAAATCCTTGGCACCATAGCATCAATATCTGGTGCATCTGTGGTTGTTCTTTACAAGGGCCCCATAGTTCTTTCTTCTCCACATTTGACCTCATCATCTGTATTAATTCAACGGCCTCTGGGATCACCACAATCAAATTGGGTGATTGGTGGGCTCTTACTTGCAATGGGATATCTTTTTTATTCATTCTGGTATATTATTCAGGTAAAACTAGTTTCCAGCCCCTTTATCCTCCAGAAAACTGTTCAGTTATATGTATTTCTTTATTTAATACCTGTGTCACTCTCCAAACCTAGGATTTAGAGGTAACAACTTCACATACTCAAGAGGGGAGTCCCACAAGTATATAAGGCTATAAATATTTTATTGAACCAAAAAAACAAAATCCGTAAAAATCTTTAAAATTATATCCTACATAAACCTCAAGTCACTAAGAATACAAAAGATACAACTTAATCTAAAGAATCAAAATCCTAGTAACAATTTTACAAATAATACCCAAATACTCAAGTCATAAGCTGGCAAAAGTCTATTTAATTCATTTGACATGGGTCAGAATTGGAGTAAAAATCACAGTTAGTGGCCCTCTTGAAGTTTTGAAAACTGTAATCTTAAAGACTTTTGGAGATTTTATTTTTGATTTGATATGATATATGTTATCTTGCATGCTTATATCATTCATTTCTTAAATATGCAGTATTGTTATATCCTAAATCATTAGATTAGGGGCATGACAAATCATATAATGCTGTGCAGTCACAAATTATGAAGATATATCCAGAAGAAATGATTGTAACTTTCATCAACAACTTGTCCTTGGTCATTTTTTTTGTACCATTATGCTTAATAGCAGAATCAAACAAGAGTTCCTGGAGACTAGGACCTAGTATAGTAGTTGCTTCTATCCTGTACTCGGTAAGGAATTAGTATCAACTACAATTTTAGATCAGATGATTTCCGATATCTAAAGGTTTTCTTTTTCTTTTACTTACTTGTTTAGGGAATTTTTGCATTATCCTTCAGCAGTGCTGTACATTCATGGGGTGTACGCTTGAAAGGGGCTGTGTATGTTACAATCTTCAGGCCATTGTCAATTGTCATTGCAGCAGTTATGAGTGCCATGTTCCTTGGTGATGCATTGTTTCTTGGAAGGTAATTAAAACTATCTATTTAGGTTTTATTTTATTTTTTTTATATTTGCAACTGTCAAGATTTGAAGAATTCTTATTATGAATCCAGTATTGTATCATTTAGACCACATGGCTGTTGGCATCTCTTTCAATTTTTTTTTTAATATCGTTGCCAGTTATAATAAGTAAAATTATCTCAAACATGGCCGCACATCCTATATTTGGGTTGGGCAATTTCCTTGTATAATCACAATTTGACAAAACTGATTCAATCTTAATGTTGCAGTGTCATTGGGGCATTAATCTTATCTGCTGGGCTTTATGCTGTATTATGGGGAAAAGCACAAGAAGAAGAAATGACTTTTGATGATTCAGGGTCAAGTAGCTTTGGACCCTCGTCCAATTGTAATGTCTCTTTGTTGCAAAGCCACAATGATGAAGAAATGTAGCTCAAAAGTTTTATCAGAAAAACAATAGCTAGCGGTTTACTTTTTACTACATTGTTCAATGTAATTTTCCCCTCATTTGAATGCTAAAAAATCTAAGAATTCATTAAAATGCGTGAAGAAAAAATGGGAACCAAAAGGTTTCTTTGATATCAAACAGTTGGGAATCTAGCTTGTTTCTTTAGGTCCATCCATTTCACTTTCATGTATGTATTGACAATTACAGCTTGGCCCAAACAACGCCTTCTAGTTAAAAACTCAGTTGCCCCTGCTAATGATAGAAGGGCCCTCCAATAATGAAGGATTATGTAGGTTAGAAGTTGTTTATTGTATGTTCCAGGGATATCGTCCTTTCTGAATTGTTTTTCTGATACAAGTATCACATATGTTAAATTTCATGGCTGTCATGTTCAGTACAACCTTTATATTCAAGCTAATTTTATAATTTTGTCAAATGATACCGTTTGTCTTACCTACATTATTTGCTTATTAGTTTAATTTTGATGATTGAAATAAAATTATAACCAGACCAAGCATTTTGAAATGATGAGTTCAACTATACATAGATATGTTCACGGGAATTACAAAATGTGTTTGAGCAAAACCACAAGCTGTCCAATAACATGATCAAATATAATCATCCTTCCTCCATTCCTTCAATGGAGGCAATTAACACCATTCACCACCAACCTTTGTCGTAATATCCGTTAAAAAAAAAAAAAAGACTATTATTAAGTATTTTTATAAATGAAGGGACTTTTTAATAAAGAGTTAGAAAAGCAAAAGATTTAAAATAAATAATGAAGGGACTTTTTAATAAAGAGTTAGAAAGACAAAAGATTTAAAATAAATAATTTAACTTTTAAAAGAGTTAATTTATACTATTTGTTTGGTCGATAACTGATTGGGAAAAAAAAAGCTTATTTTTCCTTTCTTCCTTATATAGAGCAAACAAGTTGAAGAGTTTCAATAAAGATCAAGAATAAAATCTACAAGGAGAGTTGTCTTTCAAAGGTGAGTAAATAACTTTTTTCAATTTTGGAGAGTTTAACTTGTAATTAAGAAACTTTAAAATTTTTGAAAATTCATTATCTTCCTTTAAGATTGGTTTGGACAAATCATTTGGAATTTGATTAGTGTCTAATGAAGTGTTAAGGTTTAGTAACGTGACTTTATGGTTGTAAAAATAGATAATAAAAATTAGATGGGGTTAGAAAGGAAAAATTCTGTTTCGTATGAATTATGGTATTTGTAATGGTGGATTAAAATAATTTTTTATATTAAGAGATAAAATATTGCTATGATTATTATATACTGTTGGAAAGTTTGTTAAATCTATTTTACGAAACAAATGGAAGTCAATTTTGAATTTTTTATGAAGAGCTTTCTTATTTTTATTTAAGGATGTGTAGACTGACTGGCAGCAACAATAGGGAAGAATTACGAAAATTTATGTTAGTTTTTATACAATGAATTATGAATTGGCCATAAATGTTTGGAAAGTTTATTGAGTCTACTTTCCAAAAAAATAAACAGAATTGAATTCTGACTCTTCTATGAATAAATATGTAATTTTTATTAGAATATATATATATATATATACTGTCTGGTAGCAAGCATATGATATGGATTGCAAAAATTATTATAACTAATTTACAAGGAATTGTGAGACATACATGGTTAGAAAGCTTATTGAGTCTAGTCTCTAGCTTCTCACAAGACTAATCATTCTTATCATTCACATCATCTGTAAAGAGAAAGAAAAAGGAAAATGAGCAAATTATAACTCAGCAAGTATAGGCTCACACATTTTACTGGATCAAGTATTATTTTTATACATACCGTATAGATCATTCAAAAACAACCATCAAATCATAATGTCAAAACGTTTCAAAGATTATCATTTTGTCAAACATTTCTATACTCATAAATCCATATCAATTCATAAATCATTTCAAAATATGCTATCATATAATATTATAATCAAACCAAATCATAGATCAGTATTTAAAATCATCACAAATCATTAATTCATCATTAGTTACGATCATTGCTATAACTCGTAATATTGGCTATATTGATAATTTCATATTTATGATTATTGTTAACTATTATAACTTGCTAGCAAGGGCTTTACTCTAACTAGTATAACCCGTTAGTAGAATTGTATGATCATGGCAATGCAACGACTACAACTCGTTAGCTAAGGTCATAAAAATAGTTCTGGTGTCGATGATTCTACTTCTCAGAGAAGTAAATATGTAACTATCATAAAACCCTCCATTAAACATAAATTAATTTTTCATTTCATTCATAAGCATGATCCAGCATTTATATAGCAAAATGCCAAATAATAATATGCTCGACCCTATTTTCATAAATCGAAAATAAAGAAATGAACTTTTATTTATTTAGAAACATACATATATACATAAGTTTGAAAATAAACAAAATGTGTGAGATTCTACTTACTTTCTTTTTATTCCACCATTTAGTTTTTCCTCCGAAATAATTAATGGCCTATTCAAAATCATTTCAACGTAATAGAAATGAATCAATCCATTTTGAGACTATTTATACTAAAAACAACTAAGTTATACAAGGGTTAACTTAACTAACTAATACTGATAGCTGAACTCCTTTCACTAAAACAGTTAGATCTCAAGAGATCCAATTTCGAATTAAGATATTTTTAGTGCATTAGGAACTAGACTCGATAAACTTTCTAACCATGGCCTTGTAATTCCTTGTAGATTAATTGTAATAATTTTAGCAATCCACATCAATTGCTACTGCCAGATAGCATGTATATCTTCTAGTAAAAATTAAACATTTATTCATAGAAGATTCAGAATTCAGTTCTACCTGTTTTGTTGGAAAGTAGACTCAATAACCTTTTTAAACATGTGGTTCAATTTGTAATTCATTGTGTAAGAACTGAGAGGAATTTTAGAATTCCTCCATACTGCTGTTGCTAGATAGAGTATAATTTTAATCCACCATTGCAAACACCATTACAAAAAGAATAGTTCTATGCCTCAAGCTTGCTCTTTCTGATCAATTATTCGGATAGGATATTCCAAGTATGTTAAATCATTTTGAACTTTTAAAGGCTCACACTCTACCATATAGCTCAGGTTAGAGACATATTTCCTTAACATTGACACCTGAAACACATTGTGCACACCAAATAGTTGAGGTGGTAAGATTTTTTTTATTGAACTTCTTCTACTTTACCAAGAACTTCTAGTGTCCTTACATAATGTGGACTTAACCTTCTTTGCTTTCTATTCCTCGTAACATTTTTAATAAGTGATACATTCGGATACACATGATTGCCCACTTGAAGCAACAAAAGATTTTCACCATAATTCTTTTGCTTACTTTAAACTATATAAAGTTGTTTTTCAATCGATTGAATTTTTATTCCTAGCTTGTTATGTAATTTTAAGAACTACAAATTCGCTTTTTTTAACTGTATCTCAATAAATAGATGATCATTTTTACTTTTACTTTCAATTCTCAAATTTTCACTATTAAGAGTTTCCAAACCATAATCTTTCGCAATTCTTAACCAAATATTTTCCTCGCATTTTTCACTTTTTGAATAAGGATATACTTAAATTCCATTGATTAATGTACATTTTAAAATATTTCCCACGCAGTTAATATTCTAAATCTCAAAGTATAAATTTTCGCTGCTAACTCAAGTTCGTTGGTGAGTTAATATTTTTCATAAGATTTCAATTTCCATAAGTATGTGCTACTACCATCATATGTTGTACAATTCATAGCATAAGCACTGGTAGAAGAATTTCTATCAAAGATAAAGCCTTCAAAACTACAGAAAAACACTATGAATTGAAATATCCACCAACATTTTATTGTGTTTTGTTTTAGAGTCAAATATAATCTCTTAAATATAAAATTCTTATGAATTCTATATACTTTAAAACGATTAAAACACATACATCTTACTATAGTTATGAAATCTGTGAAATATCAAAAATCCATATCTCTATACCATTTATACAAAAGTCTATCAGTTTGCATTTAATAATGATCATAACTTTCATAATTAATGATAGTCCAAAAATTCTTAAAATTTTCACTAATTTAAGCTTTTGCTACATATTTTGATATTTCCTTCAAATAAAACTCTAAAATAATAAATTAACTTTTGTAACGTTGTTTTATAATAAAAAAAGCATATACCAACAAAATTTCGTGTAATTTGCTTCATGCTGGGTATTCATAATCACTCACAACTTTAAGGTTGAATGACAATATCAACAAATCCTTTAGTCACCAAAAAGATATCACATACTATAATTTTCTTTTCTTTTGGATAGATAATATGAAATTTTCTATCAATTAACCATTATAAAACATATGAAATTGATGCAATAGATCACATCCATAAATTTGTACTATGTAAATTCAAACATAATTTTTTGGTTACCCAAGTTGTCTTTAATTTCAAATGTTATTCTTTCTAATTTAATAGACCAATTATCATATAACAACTGATTCTGCATAATTCCTACAAATATCATAATGTCTCAAAATTTTTTTTTGCCAAATATATTGCTATTGTCTCTAAGTTAAAGTTAAAACTTATGCATCATAACTCATAAGTAAAATTCTTTGATAGGATTTAAATATTAAAAACTCTAAATACTTGAATTCAAGCTAATTGAAAGTATAGTTATGAACAATGGCCAAATGCGTTATATTATTTCATAAGTTTCTTTAAATTTCTATAAAATTGAATACATGCTCAGCATCACCAAGTATACAAAATCATCACTAATTATTAACCTAATCATAATATGAATAATCTTTTGTATTTGTAAGATTTCAAATAGTCATTCTTATCTAAAACATATATATATTTCGATAAATCAATTACTCTTTCAAAATCAACTTCCTTACTAAATTATCTAGATAACCACAACTTTAACTGTTATCCACAAATTTAATTCTTTGCTAAATACATAGCTTTGTACCACAATAGTTAATGTTCTCCATAAATAGAAAATTTGAAGTGATCTAATATTATACTCTAATTAGAAACTATAACCACAAATTAATCAATCTAGCCATTAAAAAAAAATTAGTGCACCCCAAATAGGAATTTAATGATCAAACTTCAAATTAACTATACAAACTCCAACTTATGTGATCAAACCTTAAATATGTGAAGACCTACACCTAACCTGTAAGGTATTGTCCGTTTTAACTAAAAAGTCTCATGATTTTATCCCACAAAAGACACCTTATAAGTTTGGATTTAGATCTTTACATATATATTATAGTAGAACCTCAGATTATTCTGATGTGAGATTGAAGTGTTACAAACTCTCCCCATTAAACCTTTGATGTCCTCGTCAAGCCCAACACGAAGCATATATATTTACCGAATCATGCCAAATATTGGGTAAGTCCAACACAAAGCATACATAAATCACAGGATCAAACTAGACATTGGGATTCTAGAGGTGGCTCTACCATGTAGTAGTTAACTCCAATTTGACTGGTGATCGCTCTGATACAATTTATGAAGACCTGCACCCAATCTGCAAGGTATTATCCACTTTGACGCAAAAGTTTCATGGTTTTATCCTACAAAAGGTGCCTTACAAGTTTAGATTTAAGTCTCTACATATATATCATAATAAAATTTTAGAT